ACCCATGTCAGCTTCCCTCCACACGTGTTCCCTTATTCCATACCCACCCCAGTCCCAACTCCACTCCCGCCTGTTCTGGACAACCACATGACTAAGTTTCAGTGATTGCGGCTTAGATCTCTTGTTTTCAGTTCTGTTGCATCTGTATTTTTGGGTAAATGGCTACACCCCTCACTCATGTCACTGGCATAAATGAAGCCCTGATCCCTGTAAACTTCTGGTTCTCTTCTGCCCCCATATTTCTTTCCTTCTTTGACCGGCTTCTCTCTAAACACTGGAGTCAGGGATGATTTAAGTAGCCCCTTTAGAGTACATTTCTACATCCAGTGTTCTGTATTCCACAGATGAGTGACATCATCCTGTTTTTGTTTCTTTTTATGGCTAACTTCACTCAACATGGTATCTTCCAACCGTTTGGCAGCACATATACTAAAATTATAAAACCTAAAAAAATTATTAAATTTTTGCTTTTTGAGTTACATCCATTGATGCTCAGGGGTTACTCCTAGATTTCCACTCAGGAATTATTCCTAGGGGTACTTGGGGGACCATATGGGATGCCTGGGATTGTAGCTGGGCTGGCTGTGTGTAAGGCAAATGCCTACCCCTGTACTATGGCACCGACTCCCCCAAAATTATTTTTATTACAGGGGAAATACTGTGACTTTACATTTGATAGACAGCAAGGACAAGTGTGTTGAAAAGAACTCAATGGTTCAGCACTAGTGGTTTTGCATTAGGAAGGACACTTGCTTGGCACCACGAAGAAAACTATGGTTCCATTCCAGCACACCACATGGCCCCCAGTGCCCCAGCAGCAGGAATCCTTGAGCAATACTTGGTGTGACTCTCTCCCCACCTAAGTAAATATAACAAGATAACAAAAAACTCAATGATCCTGCAGAGGAATCTGCTTCAGGTGAGATGTTTGCAAAGGCCCATCTCAGCTGTGTAGGGATACATCATTGCCTTCACATGTGAAGCCCGGGCTCCAAACTGAGCTAAAACCAAACCCAGTCTCAGACCCCTTTTAATTTTCACTTTAAACTGAGGCTTCACTTTTCTGCAGAGGGTGTTATTTCCACTTACTGTGTCTGTTCTTTTGAGTTGGAAATTTTTTACACAGCTATGTTTTGGGGCGGGGGCTGGAGCGATAGCACAGCGGGTAGGGCATTCGCCTTACAAGCGGCCAACATGGCCGACCCGAGTTTGATTCCTCCGCCCCTCTCGGAGAGCCCGGCAAGCTACCGAGAGTATTCAATATGCCAGACACAGTAACAACAAAGTCTCCAATGGAGGCGTTACTGGGCCCGCTCGAGCAAATCGACGATCAACGGGAGGGCCTTTACCTTTACCTTTACCTTATGTTGTGGGAAGCTGGCCCTTTAACTGACCAAGAGCCTACGTGCCTGTGCTAGGTACGGCTATCCTGACCAACGTGACCCTCAGCAGGTAAAGCCTATGGTATGGTAATCCTGACCTATGTGACCCTCGGCAGGTGAAGCCTGTGGTTTGGTAATCCTCACCTACGTGACCTTTGGCAGGTAAAGCCTGCCCTATGTATGATTATCCCAAGAAAACAATTGTCATGGCTATAACTGACAATGATTAACTTAGTATAAGCTTTGTAATGCATGGTAGGTTAAACTTATAGACTCTGTAACTTTCCTAATCACATTTTGAGCACGACCCTTTGTGTAGCTGCCTCACTAATATATACCCCCATCACCCTCAATAAAGCCTGTCCCTTTTTCTCTTTGTTTCTAAGCTCCATTTTTTCTCTCGTGTCTTGTGTTCATTCGGTCAGTCTTTCCCTGCACCTACGGATCCTAGGGCCACCTCTGTGGGCCGGAGAGTGGTCTGGCGGGACCCCCTGCAACTGGCGCCCACATGGGGTGGTGTCTGGGAGATGACTGCCGAACTCCCCTTCAGGAAGCGGTGGCCACCGGGACGCACGGAAAGGTAAGTGCACGCCTAATCAAAAATCCCCGTCTCGTTCGAGGCCGAGTGGGCAGATCCCCATCTCGTTCGAGGCTGAGTGGGTACTAGCCCCTGCCTCATTATAGAGGTCGACGGGGTCGCATCAGGGGAGAATTAAGTGTTCAGTCTCATATGAGGTATATGAGACGGTCACTGGGTTGGATAAGGCCCCCCCCATGCCCCTTTGTCGTGTCCTTTGTGGAATGTGTGTGTGAGTGAATGAGCGGTCAGGGGCGTCCTCGCCTCTGATTCGAGTCTGCTGTTTCATGGCTGGGCACCCCTTAGATCCCCGAAAAGGCTACGGAATCCGGTTGGGCTGCCTGCGGTTCCACGGGAAACATAGTCTATGGTGGTGCTGACTTAGACGTCGGCCGCAAGTCACCTTTGGCTGATCCACTACGGCTAAGTTTCCCACCAGCCAGACAAGCACCTGAGTGGGCCCCTTTGTTGGGCCTCCCCCGTGTCTCGCGTTTGTTTTTCCCAGGTATTCATGCGGGGGTACAGCCTTCCAGTGACCCATCTCCTGTCTAGTCAGTCTTTATATCTTGTCTGCCTTCTATTCCTTTCATCTGTCTTACTCCCTCTCTTCTTCCTATATTTCTCATTTTCTGTTTCGTAATCTGTATATTCGTGTGTATCTGTATCTTTGAAAGCTGTTTCTCCTGACCTCTGACAATGGGTCAGAGTTTAAGCAAGAAGGAATTGTTTATTCATGGTTTAAAGACATCCCTTAAGCCCCGGGGTATCCGGGTCAAGAAAAAGGATCTCGTAGATTTCTTTCTTCTTATTGAGAAGATCTGTCCCTGGTTCCCTCAAGGAGAGACCATCGATGAGAAATGTTGGGGCCGTGTAGGAGACTGTCTTAAAGACTATTACAGGACGTTTGGCCCCAAGAGAATCCCCATTCCGACTTTCTCTTTTTGGAATCTCATTAATGAGGTCCTTCGAGTCCAACATGTTCAGTCAGATGCCCACCAGATAATTCAAGACTCTGAGACCTTAAAGATTATGACCCTTCTAACCCTCACTCCCACACGCCTTCCTGTCCGCCTTCTGTTCTCCCCACTCCCACCGCAGAGACAGAGGAACCTTGTCGGTCCCCGTGTCCCTCTGTGTCAATCCCTATGCCCACTGAGGAGCCACCTGAGAAACCTCCTGCAGGCTCTCAGTACGATCCCCCTGAATGTTCGATGCCACGCTTATATCCAGTCATCAGGGATCCCCCTCCCCAAGAACTCCCCTCCGCATTCTGTGGACTCTGATGCCCATCCCCCTTAGAACGTTGCTGACCTCGGGGATGCAGCCACATGCTTTCGTGCACCTGAGAGGTCCCCAATGGCACCCTCGTCCACCCTCGCTGCCCCCCTCCGTACATTCCCGAGGTCTCTTTCGGGGCGAGCGATTGTCTTTCTCCACCCCTTGTGGGTCCTGACCTTCGCCTTGTTACCCACCGCTTGGCGCAGGATACTCAAATGCTCCACTCCTTTATACAACAAAAGCAGGAATTCCTGGACCTCCTGGGGCAGATCAGGCAGCTGGATCTATCTCCAAATACCCCGCCTGACTCACTAAGCCCGCCGCTTAAAGCTCGGCTGCAAGCCCCTCAGATCTTTCCTGCTCTCCAGCCTGGTAGATGCCTCTCACCTCAAGCCCCCTCAGGGGAGGAGAGGGAGGGAGCAGCCCAAGAGGCAGACTTCCCAGATGACCGTGAGGGCATCGAGGAGGCTCCTAATCCGGGCAGGGATGCAAGGGACTCAGAACCAGGGGAGACCCACGTGGGAGCCCATGGACGACAGCGCTATGAAAGACTGAAGTTTAGTGATATTAAAGACATTAAGGATGCTGTTGCCTCCTTTGGTCCAAAGGAGGTCCAACTGCCCCCTTTACCCTGAGCCTTTTAGAATTCCTTAGCGAGAGCTGGCTCACCCCTAATGATGGGTTTTCCCTGACCCTTGCCGTTTTAAGCCGCGGAGACTATCTGCTCTGGAAGGTGGATTATCAGGATCGCTGTCAGGATATGGCCCGGCGGAATCTCGCTGCGGGAGGGTCCTCCTCCCCCTGGGTACTGAGAAAATTCCTGGGTAATGATTCCTTCTCCTCTAACAAGGTTCAGGCTCAGTTCCCTCCTGGCCTTCTCACACAGATTCAGGTGGCAGCCTTGAAGGCTTGGAAGGGTCTCCCAACGAAGAGTTCCGTTGTCACCTCTCTTTCCAAAGTCCACCAGGGCCCTAACGAGCCCTACAATGATTTTGTTGGCCGCCTAGGGGAGGCTGCTGAGAGCCTCCTGGGGGGAGGCGACACTGATAACGACTTTATTTGCCACTTAGCCTATGAAAATGCTAATTCTGTCTGCCAGGACGTTCTTCGTACTCATAAAGGAGGCAAGACCCTCTCTGACTACCTCCGCCTGTGCGCCGATATAGACCCCGCCTCTCACAAAATTGGACTGGCCATTGGGGCGTCCTTAAAGGTTTAACCCATACTCCCATGACCGCTCCAATTGACCCTAGATTCTGCTTTGGCTGCAACAAGCCTGGTCATTTCCGGCGCCATTGCCCAGAGCGGGAGAGGGCGCGCGTGCCCCATACATTATGCCCCAAGTGTAAGGACAGGTACCATTGGGCATCAGACTGCCAGGTTGGAGTTACCTCTTGCCCGGGAAACTTCTCGCGGGGCCAGCCCCAGGGCCCCGTAATGCAGCAGGCAGGTGGGGCTCCCCCTTTCTTCCTCCCCAAACTCTTCCACCTCTGGCCCTTGTTCCCCCTCCGGCTTCGATTCCCTCCTGCGTGCCATCCCAGGAAGCTCCAAATTGGACCTCCGTACCACCTCCCCCACAATCTTAACCCAGGCACAGGGACCTCAGCCCATCCCAGTTAATTTCCAGGGGCCTCTGTCTGCCGGAATGGTTGGCCTCATTATCGGGAGGGGTTGTCACCTCTCTTTCCAGGAATCTTATACTGGAAGAATTCCAGGTCCTTCCCGGCACTATAGATAATACTCTCACTGGCCAGCTTAGCATTATGGCCATGACTACGTCTTCCTTCCTACGTATAGATCTGGGTGCCCACATTGATGAATTGCTCCTCATCCCGCCTGGCCTTGCTCCTGGTGCCACCGGCCCCGTGCCACTGGGGGTGCATTTGGCTCAGGCTATAAAGGAGTGTAAGCCACTCCTGACCCTCACCATCTTAGGCAGGCCCTTTACCGGCCTTATAGATACTGGAGCTGATACTACCATCATTACTACTAGGGACTGGCCGCCCAAATGGCCACTCTCCCCCTCTTTAACACACCTGCAGGGGATTGGCCATTCAAAAAACCCAATATTAATTTCAGCTGAACTCAAGTGGCGGACCCCCAAAGGAGAGGAAGGCCACGTCCGCCCCTATGTCCTCCCCGACCTGCCTGTTAATCTGTGGGGGAGGGATGTCTTGTCCCAAATGGACCCGATCCTAGTAGATACCAAAGGCCTAGATCTTTTACTTCAGCAGGGCTATCTTCCTAGTCAAGGTCTGGGAAGGCACTCCCAGGGCCTCACTGAACCCATGATGCCTTCTCCCTCTGTAGGACGACAAGTACTGGGAAATTTACCATAATGGCCGTTGACTTGCCTGTACCCCACACTGATAAGATTATCTGGCAATCAGATGACGCTGTGTGGGTAGATCAATGGACCCTGTCCTCAGAAAAACTGGCCGCAGCGGAGGCGCTAGTGCAGGAGCAGCTCGCTGTTGGACACATAGAACTGACCAATTCTCCCTGGAATACGCCCATTTTTGTGATCAAGAAGAAATCGGGGAAGTGGCATCTGCTCCAGGATCTGAGGGCAATAAACCAGACCATGGTGGTCTTTGGAGCATTACAACCTGGCTTACCATTGCCCGTAGTCATCCCCGCCCTATGGCACAAGATTGTTATTGACCTAAAGGACTGTTTTTTCTCCATCCCCCTCCACCCTGCTGATCACCCCCGATTTGCCTTCAGTGTTCCCGTCACAAATTTCAGAGGCCCGATGAAGCGGTTTCAGTGGAAGGTGCTACCTCAGGGAATGGCCAACAGCCCCACTTTGTGTCAGAAGTTTGTTGCGAGTGTTCTGGCCCCGGTCAGGGAACAATGGCCGGATCTTTACATCGTCCATTATATGGATGATATCCTGCTTGCTGGCCCGCACCCAGATGAAGTTATGTGTTGCTGCAATCATATGATTGACACCCTAACTCACGCAGGGTTTTCCATAGCTCAAGACAAAATTCAGATGAGTGACCCCTACTCCTTCTTAGGCTTTCAGATCGACCGATCTAGAATCAGAGTCCAGAAGGCTCAGCTCATGACTTCCACATTGAGGACTTTAAATGACTTTCAGCAGCTATTAGGCAATATTAACTGGCTCCGACCCTGCCTTAAGGTGACACAAGATGACCTTAAACCTCTATTTGACACCCTTCGGGGCGATCCCGATTCTAGTCCCCCCCCGTACACTTACAGATGACGCCCGACGCACCCTTGCCCTTGTAGAACGTGCCATTGATGAACAGTTTATCGTTGCCCTGAACTATGAGCTCCCGTTTTCTCTGATAATTTTTGAGACCCCACACTCCCCTACAGGTCTTGTTTGGCAGATCCATCCCGTTTCCTGGTTGTCTCTACCCTCGACCCCCAGACGTGTCCTCACTCCCTATTACCTCCTTGTTTCCTCATTAATAAGCCTAGGGAGGGAATATTGCAGAAAATACTTCGGCTTAGAGCCAACCATCATCATTCAGCCCTACGACCGAGACCAGGTAAACTGGCTACTCCAGAATTCCGATGACTGGCCCATAGCCTGTGTCTCTTTTGAGGGACTCATAGATAATCATTACCCTCCAGACAGACTGGTTCAATTTTGCAAGATACACAGATGGATCTTCCCCACTCTCACTAGAAATAACCCCATCCCCGGGGCTCCCACTATCTTCACTGATGTATCTTCTAGTGGGATGGCAGCATACGTGCACCAAGAGAAGGTTGTCTTCTCTCGCACAGACTATGCGTCCGCCCAGTTGGTGGAGCTGTCGGCCGTCTATAAAGTTTTTCAGGACTTCCCAACAGACAGCTTTTAATCTATACACAGATAGTGCCTATGTAGCCTTTTCCGTTCTGCTCCTTGAAACTGTCAGCTATATTAAGGAATCCTCTCAGGTGACCAGTTTGTTCTTACAGATTCAACAGTGCATCCGCTCCTGCCGTCTCCCCTTTTTCATAGGCCATCTGAGAGCCCACTCTGGGCTCCCTGGCCCACTATCCGAAGGCAATGACAGGGCTGATCGGGCTACTCGGCTGATTGCAGCCTCTGTTTCCAGTCCAGACCTCGTATCCGAGGCCACTAAGACTCATGCACTTCATCATCTTAACGCTAATACTTTAAGAATGATGTTTAATATCCCTCAAGAGCAGGCCCGACAAATCATTAAGCAGTGCCAGTCTTGTGTCACCTTTCTGCCTGCACCCCACCTGGGAGTCAATCCCAGAGGCTTGGTTCCTAACGCACTCTGGCAAATGGATGTCACCCACGTCTCCTCTTTTGGACGGCTCAGATATATCCATGTGGTAATAGATACCTTCAGCGGGTATATCTGTGCATCTGCTCAGACAGGCGAGGCCTCTAAGAATGTTATCGCTCATGTCCTTTACTGCCTATCTATCCTGGGGAAGCCTCAGCGCATTAAAATGGATAATGGCCAGGCTATACTGGAAAAAAAATTTCAGAACTTTTTCAAACAATTCCAAATACAGCATACTACCAGAATTCCCTACAATCCACAAGGCCAGGGTATCGTGGAAAGAGCCCACTCTACCCTTAAAATGTATATCTCCAAATTGGTGAAGGATAGAAACCTATATGGTGCCTCTAACTCTCCTAAGACACTGCTGTCCCATGTGCAGTTTGTGCTCAATTTTTTGAGCCTGGATAAGGATGGCCGCAGTGCTGCAGATCGTTTCTGGCACTCTGACTCGAAAAACTCCTATGCTATGCCTAAATGGAAGGATCCACTCACGGCTCAGTGGCATGGCCCGGACCCAGTTCTGATCTGGGGCAGAGGACATGCTTGCATTTTTGATACCCGTGAAGGAGCAGCTCGCTGGCTTCCTGCCCACCTTGTCTGACCTATAAATCATGTAACAAATTCCAGAACCTCGCCTGGCCCTGAGAACACCTCTATTTTCCCCACAGATGTCCCTGGAAATCCTGCTGATGCTGTTCATGACACTCCACCCAGTCCGGTGCTGACCGTCAAACAGTGAGGCACACCAGCCTATATCCATCTGCTGGAAAGTATTCATCAACCCGATGACAAATGAGAGATAACTCGCTGTGAAGGATGCCACTCATGGTTTCTGCAAGTGCGCTCCCCAAACCCTTTCCTGGTTCCCTGACTTAGAGGTCGATTACTGCCATGCCATACTCAATGGTTCTTTGCATGCCTTCCCCAATTTACAGTGGCGGCCCTTGCCCAAGTCCCTCTGTGACCACTCGTGGAAGGAAATTACCATTTACATTTGTCCAGAACAGACTCATCGTCCTGAGTGCGGGGGTGTGCCTGACTTTTTTGGTAAGAATTGGGGCTGTGAATCTTCCGTAGCGGGCCTTCCTCCCTCGTCTCTCTCCACCCCCCACCTCGATTACTTGATTTACAGCCACCGAGCCAGGGCCCCCGGCTCGTCGGGAAGTATTCCCCCCTCTGGGGCTGACAGTTGCCGCATGTTCCTCCTATTGTTCACATCCTTGGGGAAACTGCTCCCCAGCTCCCGTTGGGAGGGAGATGGCCTCCGTTGGGGGGGTCCGCGCTTCGGGCGGCACTCTGACAGGTCAGGCCATCGGATTTTTCTTTCGCGTCTGGCACTACCTTGTCCAGCCGGCTCCCTCAGCTCCACCTGCGACCACCCCCAGTACTTCCATCCCAGTAGTCCCCACAGACCGGGTCCCTTCCCCAGGTCTCATCGAGTGACTCTCTTCGTGGTTTAGTCATGGCCTCTTTTGACTCCCTCAACCGCACCTCCCCAAACCTTACACGCAGCTGCTGGCTGCGCTTGCAACCGCCCCCCCCCCCCCCATTTTTTGACCTCTTAGGCAGCCCCTTGCCTTATTCCATACCTCCCGTGAGTGGGCCTCTGTTCTCTCGAACCTTTCCCTCCTGGATGTATCAGGCCGTGGATTTTGTGTTGGTGCCGCACCTCCTTCCCTTGACCCTTCCAAACTATGCGCCACCCACATCCCTGATCCTTCTCTCCAGTTAGACCAGTGGGTTCTCCCTTCATCTGGATCCTGGTGGCTGTGCGTTTGGGCGGGACTTACCCCACATTTGGCCGGATCAGTCTTTCGTCCCGCCCAGGACTTCTGTGTCTCCGTTGTTGTCCTGCCCCGAATTTTCTAACATCCGGCCAATTCCTTTTTGGACGCTTGGGACAATAGGACTGATCTCCATCGTAATTGTCGCGACCCGTTCACAGCCATCACTGTCGCTACCCTCCTGACCCTGACCCTTGCGGGCGCAGGGATGGGCATCGCGTCCCTGGTGACTCAACATTCTGCACTAGCCTCCCTTCATGCTGCTGTCGAGGCAGACAACAGCTGCTTGGAAGTCTCGATCGCCCATTTGGAAGAATCCCTCAATTTGTTGTCTGAAGTTGCCCTGCAGAATCGGAGAGGACTAGACCTTCTCTTTTTGAAAGAGGGTGGACTCTGTGCCGCACTGGGGGAGGAATGCTGTTTCTATGTCAATCATAGTGCAGTCATTCGGGATACCATGCGGGAACTCAGCGAGGGTTTAGAGCTCAGACGATGCCAACGAGAGTCCTCTACCTCTACCTGGGGCTTTCACACTCTTCTCCCATACCTACTCCCCTTCTTGGGTCCCCTTACTGCACTCTTGTTAGTTGCTACTATTGGCCCTTGCGTGTTTAACCATCTACTCAGCTTTATCAAACAGCAGGTTGCCTTACTGGCAGCAGCACCTATAAAGGTGCATTATCACCGCCTGGCAATGGAAGATGTTCCCCTAGACCATGCGGCCACAAATTCTGCTGCTACAGAAGACGGCTCGCAGGTCGTATTTAGTTGGACCCAACCTTGAGTTGTTCATGGCCAGCTCCCCTGCCCCTCTCTGATCTGACAATCTGGGTATGAAGGAGTCGGACTTTACCCTATTCCATTTTGTTCAGCCGCTAGGCAAAGCACTGCAAGGGAGGCCTCATGGCTGATTCCGACTCCTTGTGAAGTACACTGGGCCTGCATGGAGGTTTCATCTGCCTAACACTGGCCTTTTTCCACGGCTCCCCTCCGCTAGTAGGGTGGGCAGGGGAAAATGGGCTCTGTCTACTTTCCTCCCCTCCACAAAACAAAGATTTTCTTGATATCCTGGAGGGGCCCAGTCAATGCTCCCCCTAGCTGGCATTTTTTATAAAAAAGGAAGGGGGAGATGTGGTAACTGGCCCTTTAACTGACCAAGAGCCTACGTGCCTGTGCTAGGTACGGCTATCCTGACCTACGTGACCCTCAGCAGGTAAAGCCTGTGGTATGGTAATCCTAACCTACGTGACCTTTGGCAGGTAAAGCCTG